GGAGGGAGGGAGGGAGGGGAGGGGAGAAGACAATGCGTAGGAGTCAGTTCTCTCCTCACATCACGTGGATTTGTGGATTCTAGCGATCCGACTCAGGTCATCAGGCATCCTATCCACGGAGCCGTCTCACTGTCTGAAACCTTGTTTTTCCCCTCTAGAGAAAACATGAGCTATAGCATCAGGATGCACTGGGGACTAAAAGCTGAATAAAGTGCAAATATACAAGCAGCTGCTGTCTTCGGCATGCTGGGAGCAGTCACTGCTCACAGGGACTGAGATGATACAGGTGAACAACCCTAATCTGAAAACCCCAATGTCTCAAACTCTAAAACTGTTTGACATGACACTGCTAGCAGAAAATGCCACCATATGAGATGTTTCGTGTATAAATTAAGCACAATGCTTAACAATCACTCTTAGGGTATGTCTGAAGTATAAATAAAACATGAACCATGTTGTGTTTACACTTGACTTTGTCTCCAATATCTCAGTGTACAAATATTCCACAATAAAAAAAAATCTGAACTCCAAAACACTTTTGGTCCTAAGCACTTCAAAGGAGACTGCACTGGTAGTGTGGGCTAGGTCAGATACCACTTCACCAAGGTTTGCCCATTTTACACTATGCCTTGCCTATCAACACAGAGCAAGCCTTCACCTTCCTCCTCCCACCCTTCGACACTTCTCTTCACACAGACAGCCCGGGTCAGTCACCTATACGTGCAGTCTCTTCTGTATACCTTTAAATCCCTCATGACTTCATTCTACTCTGGTTTCCTGCTGTTTCTCTACGGATATAAAATGGACCACTCATTGCTCTGATGTCATTAAATTCAACAACCCTGCCTTATCCCTGTCTTACTCTTTTTCCTAGGCCAGTTTTCATGGTTTGTGAGGTCCAATACATTCCAAACTTTCTTTCTTGATTATCGACTGACACAAATTTGTATGTATGTATTTGACATAGTATGCTGACACATGTATATGATACTGACTTCCACTCACTTTTCTCTCCAGTTCACTTGTACATATGTTCACTTGTACACATTACATATGGATACATCAGCTCCAAAACTGTCCTGCTTGAGAAATCTTTGGACTGCCTCAGAAGTATCCAAGTTTACAACATGGTCAGAGCCAAGTTAGCCATTCGTTTCCTCACAAAATCCTCTTTTCCCAGAGTTCTTTTCGCTGGGAACTGAGGATCTGGTAGTTGACCCCCACCTCTCTCACTCTCTAGCTCTTCTTCCCCTGATGTTTACTGTTCCACAAATCCAGCAGGGATTCTAGTTCCACCTCACCAAGACTGCTAGACTATCATCAGCTTGTCTCAGACTCCATGAGTCTCTAAGCTGGTCTGACCACAGCTAACCTGCCATGCTCTGATCTCTGTCCCACCTTGCAGCTGAGGATGGCTTTAAGACACAAATCTGATTATAAGCTCCCCAACCCCCATTTAAAATTTCAGATAATTCCACACTATTTTTAGGATGATAGCAAAATGGCCCATGTTCTGCACTTTTCCCTCACACCTCATAGCCCCAGACATTGTCTATGTTGTAGGGGCATCAGCCATCACGATCATAGTATCTCCCCTGTCGGTTAAGTACATGTGACTCGGTCCATCTTCCTCCAGCCTATTCTCCCCTACTCCTCTGGGTCGCACTATGTTGCCCTGGTAATAAGTCTCCAGTGCTGGGAACTCAAGCAATCCTCCTGTCTCAGCCTCTCCATGAACATAGAAATGTGCCCAGCTTCCTTCAGCACCTTCTTGCTTACCACATTCTTTTCTGCTGGTTGGACATATGCATTTCCTCTCTAACTAGTTAACAACTTTACCTTTCAGGTATTAACCTTGCAAACAGCTCTTTAGGCATGTCCTCTGTGCAGTCATTTTAAGTTTAAAATACAAATAAAACTCTTTAAGGGCTTTTCATGTTATAGTTGCATGCTTGTTTTTGCCTACATGTGTGCATGTGGACCATGTGCATGCCTGAGGTCTGTGGAGGTCAAAGCAGGCATCTGATCCTCTGAAACTCGAGTTTTAGACTGTTGTGAGCCACCACATGGCTGCCAGGGTCTGAACCTAGGTCCTCTGCAAGGGCAACAGGTAATCTTCAGCACGAAGCCATCTCTCTAGCTCCATGTTGTGTTTACAGTGCTAGACTGTAAGCAGAAATGTGTTTACTGTCAAATATGTAGTGCTTGGCAACAGAATGAATAAGTAGATTCAATCTATGTTAATAGCGTAACTGCACTATATCACAGTTAAGTGTCGACATATAGTTGCTGGATCATAGGCCATGTCACTCAGTAAAGCACAACATCTCAGCTTTTCAGGATGTGGGTTGGACTGGGTGATATTTCAGCAAGTATCCAAACTGAGATTTTCAGACCTGGTACCCAATTAAGGGCAGATCACAGGCCTCAATGCCTGGCATCACCTGTTAGTGCCATGGTTCTTCTGTAATACCTCTATGCCTCTGTCTCCCTGTCTCTGTAGAGTTCTTGGGAAGAGTAAAGGCATTACTATGTTTACAACCTGGGAACGCAGTGTAGTGGAGAGCAAGCACTAAAGTGCTATTTGAATATCAGTTACCACTGTTCTCATCGCTGTTTTCTCAGCACAGCAGTAAGCCATCAGTCAATGTCCCACTCACAGTGAGCCAAAGCTCGGCGTGCTGCACATTCTAGAACACAACTGGCGTGGAGCAACTGCAGAAAACCCTGACACACACACAAGTGGTCAGAATTAAATATGTAGCTCATGGTCAAAACTGGCTGCCCACCTGCTCCTTTAGCATGCCCTGTCTGGCTCTTGGTGATTATTAATGACTCATTTCTGAATTGCCTGAGGTCACCTGACCTGGCTCAAGTTTCAAATTGTGCAAAAGGGGTTAGGGTTGTAGCTCAGTGGTAAAATGCTGCCCTAGCATGCAAGAGGACTTGGGTTCAACCTCCAATATCCAAACAAAAATGGCCCCTGACCACCACTCTGACAAATGCACCTAAGGGCTTTTACTTGGGAAGTGCCCAGTACCACTGTTAGAAAACAGAAACGGGCCACACTGAATGAATATTCATTTCTGGTGGCCCCCGGCCAGAGCCACACATGGCTATTCCCCAGGTTCAGAGAACAGGGTTCCCCCAGGCCCTCATCTACCTAACTGGGCAGTCACCGCTGGGTTTCCTCAAGCTCTCAGGCCTGTGTCAGGGAGATCACTTACTGTGAGCTCTGTCTTCTCTGCTAGGCAACGGTACAAAACATAGAGGGAGAGAAACTGGGTGGATGGCACTTCAAAGGCTTCTTGCATCATAATCTCAAAAACCACTGATAAAGCATCTGGCAAGGAGACGAAGGTGAGAACGAGGGGAAGTTAGACGTAGGGAACATACCAAGTCTCCAAGTGTAAACACTTGTTCAAAGTATAGCACAGTGGAAACCAAGCAGAACTAAGAAGTCGGAAACATGGGCTCTAGTCCTAGTTTTTCTATGAAGCAAGTCCTTGCTGAGACATTCCCACCTTCTGTACACACTGTGTGTGCACACAGAATCAGGGGCTTTTGCATCGGGGACTTCAAACCTGGACCAAAGCTCTCCGTGTCCTTTGGCTCACAGTAAGTAGCATCTTCATCTGATCAAACATATTTTCTCTATTTACCTTAACAAGATAATCTCTATGAAAATGCCTCACTCAATGTCCATCAGCTAGAAGAGCTAAGCCCTGGGAGAAGAGGAGCATGACTGTCACGGTCACCCTGACAAGTAAGCAGAGGTAGCTGCCTGCCTCTCTCCCCATTTGGATGCTTTCTCATTGGTGAAGCAAAATAAGACAAGGCTAGAGGAACCCCTAACCCTAGGTATTAAATCAAAGATGGATACAGGATGGATAAAGAACAGTTTAAAAGAATTGAGAAAAGGGAAAGGAAAAGGCCCTTCATAAATTATAAACCACTGAGTACAACATACAATACATGTTATTTACTTCTACACGAGCTGGTTACAGAAAACCAGGCCCCAACGTCTCTTACTTTCCCTTGATATTCTACAACACAGACAAAAGCTGAGAAAACCAAGTTAAACAACTTCTTTCCCTCAGTCATTTGTGGTCAAGGTAGAGAATGCTAATGCTAACACTGAAACATCATGCTTGCTCATGCCACAAGCACAGCAAAGGTTTTCAACTGACTGCATGTGCTATTAAGCTCGCTGCATACACTCAATTACAAGAGAGCTACACATGAAAACTAAATCAATTTTTACTTTACTCTTTATATTCTGCATTTCAATCAGCTTGAGAAGTGTTATCAGATTGGCCTTTAGTTAACTTTTTCCTTATAGTTACTTATGTATGCTGACATTTTCCATTCCGGCAATAGCAAGGGTAATATTTAAAATTTTTGGCATAAGTGATAGTAAACTTTTCTGACTAAAAGAGTAACATAAAGAGATGTAATTAAGCAACAAAGAAGGAGGAAGCTGTCTGCCTTTATACACTTCCATTTGGGAGCTGAAAGCCTTGTATTAACTGAATCGTGATCTGGTTTCTTACCTTTGTAATTTTCTTTCTTTATGAAATAATCCATCAGTAAGTTGAATGTAAAGTTATCTGGAAAAATTCCATACTGAACCTGTAATAAAAGTGAAAACAGAAAGAAATCTTCTCTAATTCCATCTGTAATATAACCTTATGTATCAGGCAGGACGATGCTTGGCCCACTGAGTTAAACCACACAACTCTCAGTTTGCACCATCGGCGGCAGTGAAACTGAAGCCGTGACTCACGAGGGTTGGAAACTGGAACTGTCGGTGGGGGAGAAGGTTGAGCAGGTGTCGGACAGAAGACAACTGATAGGTGAAAACTGTATAGCCCATTGTCATCACAGCTAAAACAACTGAAAGAAAAGACCCAATCCCTCTCCTCCACACAGAGCTGGTCCAATGACCCTTCACAAGGTCTGAATGAAAATTCAAAACAGACCCTAAGGAAAAAGCACAAATTATATAGCATATGGTCTGACCTCTAAATGCCCAAGAAATGTGCCAACGCTTTACTATAAACCAAGTGCCTAGGATTCTGTTTGCCTTCATATTTAAGATGTCAGAATCTAAAAATATTTTAGGAATAAACAAAGATGCTTCAGTGTCTGCTTCAGGGCTTGGGGTAGGAATTTTCATGACTCGGATCTCAGAGTCTCAGGCCCCAGCATTAGACCCCACCCCCACCCCCGAAGGTTCCTAAGCCTCCATTGTGAATCCCAGAACTAACTAAGGGAGCACTGGCTTGGGGGCGGAGCCTGTGGTTCTAAGAGAACTCAGACACCCCCCACCCCCAACCCTCCCACCCCTGTCAGCTTGAATCCAAGGCAGGCTAAAGCCAAAACATTTTAGAACAGTAATTCATTAGAGCTAGAAAGGAACTTTGAAATTAGCCTGTCCAAGCCAAGTGTGGTCCCTCATGCCTATAATCCCTCAGAAGGCTGAGGCAGGATTGAGGTGGTTCTAGAGTAATTTGGGCTACACAGGAAGATCCAATCCGGGGTACATGGTAAAATTGGCAAAACAAAGAAAAAGAAATGAGTCAGTCTATAATTTCCAACTTTGATCATGGGTCAAGTAAAGTCTCTAGGAAGGATGAAAAGGCACAGTGACTATTTCTATTAGACCACATGTCATTTAGGATTGCATCTGTACTCACAGGATATACAACATCAAGGATGAACCCTGATAGAAACTGTAGGTGCTAACGCTGTGTCTACCACAGATGTTCCATCCCAGGAGCAGGATATGTCAGCCAAGGCAGTGTGTGCTGGACAGGGGTGTGTGAGAATCTCTACACTTCCTACTCAGTGATGCTTTGAACCTCAAATACCTAGGCCCAGAAAGACATATTGAATTAGAACAGTAGAGGTTAAGACAAATATTGTGTGTGTGTGTGTGTGTACACACATACAAGGATGGGTTGTCTTGCTCAAGTTTTTACATGGGTGCTGGGGATCTAGACTCAAAACATGGGGTAAGTATACCAACTCAGCTATCTCTCTAGCCCCAAGCATCTGCAAATTTTAAAAAATCTCAGGTAATTCTAAGAAGGCAGCTCAGGCTGTAAATCACTTACACTCACTCAAGTTGAATTGAGAAAACCAGGACAAAGTCAGAGAAAAGTATTTGCCGGACATCCCGGGCAACTGATAGAACCTAAAGGGTTAAAAGCTATATATATTTTTTTCTGGCCCCTCATCTGGTAACATCTGTTTTTAAAGGCCTGGACGCGACAGAAAAGAGATCCCTTGCTCTGCTTTTCTAGACCCTTCTGAATCTGTTTCCACAAGAATCTTCATCTCTGCATGCAATTACTAGAATGAAGGGAACAAGATTTCATCCCTGTCTTCCCCTGAGGCTTCCTTCCTTTCTTTCTTGAGACTGCAGCCCTGAACCTGGTTCATACTTCCCTGCCTCCGTCTCCTAGAAATACACCATCACTGCAGACAGAGGTACCACATCCTGCTCCATGTGCATCCATCTTTTGGAGCTAGCGTAAACGGTACTCATATCCTCTACTTCTTTCCTTCCAGCCGGGTTCCATCATTTTAGTTCCTCTTGGAGAGCACGTGGAATCCGCTAATGTGAGGTTTGCCAGAAAGGATAGCGCCTTTATTTCTGCAAGGTTAGGATGAGATACTGTTCATCTCTGTTTCCACTTGCATCATCAATCCGCCATCTCACACCAATAGTGTGTACAACATATGCTGATTTGATGTGAGACTAAGTTGCAGATGAAAATAATTCTTCACAGAGAAGAATCAAAGATAAATCAGTATACTGTCTGAACTCTAATTTTCAAGGTCTGGTGACACTATGAACATAATATATTTTCATAAAAATACTGTTAAAGTTCTTTAATAGCTCATAACAGTGTTTAAGTTGAGTCTGGCAGTAGTAACACTCTGTACCTTGTGTGCTTAGTTTGAATATACTTTCATGTCATGAAGTCAATGGAAACTGAAGTGCTGGGTGGAGTGTAACGTCGGAAGGAACACAATCCTAGGAGCTCTGGGGTGTGCGGAGAGAGAGAGCTATAGAGCTGAGAAGAAAGGATGAATTATCATCCAGGAATAACATCTTCTAAAAAACGTGTAAGATGGTGAAACAGCCACTACCCACCCAAACTTTCTGAAAGGGAAACAGACAAGCAAGGCAGGGCTTAAGGATAAAGACAAGTGCCTGCCAGTGCAGCATGCCATCATGTTCCAGGGTCACATGTCCTCTCTTGAGCTCTATGGAAAAGAGGCAGCTCTGGAAGTTTTTAGCGTTTTATTTGTTGGTTAGTTTATAACCAGCTCCAGTCTACAAACAGCATGAGAAGGAACCTGAGGTGACATCTAAACAGGAAGTGGTTTCTGGCAGTCCTGTCACAGGTACATACACACTCAGATCACACACACTCAGGAAGCACATGGGGAAACACTCCCCTTAGGAGCAAAGGTACACAAGGGGTGGCCAGGAAACTCTCACCTTATTAACAAGCGTATACAAGGCTTTGTCTTGTGCTCCGTATTTCAGACACTGTCTAATCCAGGTGTGGATGGTCCAGTCTCTCAGGTACCAGCAGTTGGGACTGTGTCGAAATCTAAATAAAACACAAGAAGAGATACTACTTAGTCTCTTAAATGTTAAAACCCAAGCACCTTCCATCAGCGGGCCCTTCTCTTGCAGTAGTTACTAAGCATAGAGTCAATGTGACCAAAAGTCATGAAAGCCAACAATAGAAACTAGAAGTTGAAACTCAACTGTAAGTCTGAAATGGAAAGAGAGAAGGCAAAATAATAAAAAATAAAAACATAAGCCTACTTATTTATTTGTCTCAAGATAGGGCCTTTCAATGTAGTCCTGGCTGGCCTAGAACTCACAGATCTGGCTCCTCTACCTTTTAAGTGCTGTGACTACAGGTGTATGTCTCCAGGTTCCACTTTATTGTTTATTTAATCCCCTTGCCTCACATCTTGCTTTAATAAGAGATCTATATGGAAATGATTTGGGGAACTATTATTCATGACACTATGTGAACACATATCTCATCAGAAGGGATGTGTGAAGCTGAAGTTGATACTTTGGAAATGAAGCAAAACAGACGAAGAAAAGAAAGGCAGCCCAGCACAGATCTCTGAGGAACTCGGCTTTATGTTACACCAGTATTGCTTGTATATTCAGGAGTACCTGGGTTAGTACTGAATCAAGAAAACAAACAAAGGCTCCACAGGCTCCACTGCAGCCGCTCAGTCCATTCCCTCTTGTTGCCACAGCAACCCTCATGATCACAGGCAGTCATTTGGAGGAAGGCTCCTGGGATGCTGCCCTGGCCCGAGTGCTCACACACAGCCAGTGCCTAGGCAGGAAAGCTTTTCTCTCTTTGCCAGCATGCAGAAGACCGGCTACCAGGGGCATGTGTAAACAGTTACTCGTTATCATTACGGCAGAGCTTCGTATTCCTACTCAGAAATGGGGACCTGCTTATCCCACATGATTCCTCAGTGCGTGCGTGACACTGCGTGGCCCACGAGGTTTCCAGCACATAAAAGCAGAGCTTCCATCAAGACATTTACTAACTGCTACATACTCCTGTCCGTGACTGTACAGTTAACATGCATGTATACATGAAGAATGGTGCTACTTTGCCTGGGTCATTCACAGCCTCCTCACACACATCTTTTATAACAATGTAAGGAGGGCATGTCCCATGAGAATTACTAGATGCAGGGTTTTAGTCTATTTCTCATTTTAAAACAGATTAAAAATGTTAACCATCCCTTTCACCTAACAGCTCTTTCAACCTAATCTCCACCTCAATCTCCTGCCTTGAACGCCTTAGATGGCACTTCTTCTGTTGCTGACAGACTTTGATGCACTCTTTGGCTACACTCATGACCACAGCCAAGTAAGTACCTTTTCTCTTATGACCAGCAAGCAACTGTGAGACTCTGAAGACTGACAGTGGGACCCACGCTACAGACCTTCAGAGCTTAAATTAAAATTTCATTTCAAGCACTTTGCTAATATTCTAAGGCTGGAAGAAAAAGGAAATCTTTTCTCAAAGTCTTTCCTTTTCACTCTGCTTTTAGAAACCTAAGAGACTCATTAATCATGACTGCCTCCCATAGCTCATTTAACTGACTCTCATGTATCTCACTTAACTGCAGCTACCCAGCTCTTAGGAGGTCAGTGACCTCTGGTCTGTAAGACCTCACAGTCCATTCATGTGCAACACAAATGCCTAGGACCCTATAACTAACAGCCACCATCACACCACTTCAGGAATAGTTATATATAACTATTATATATACATATATATATATATATATATATATATATATATATATAGAGAGAGAGAGAGAGAGAGAGAGAGAGAGAAATATATACTGCTCAAAGTGGAATTCCAGTCTTTCCCATATAGGCAGGAAGTGAAAGCTTTTCTAGAGCCTATCAGTGTTAAAACTAAAGAGAAAAAGAAAAGAGAATTAGTGCAGAACTTCTAGAATATGAAGGCATCAACACAATACACCAAAAAAGGAAGCAAGTTTGAATGGTATGAGAGAAATCCCTCAGCCAGTTTCACAGGCAATTTGGTATGGATCCTCTTTAGAACTCCAGTAAGGGGCAGGTTAGCTTCTCAATGGGCATAACCTAGATGATTCTGTGGACTGCTGGCCAGCACGGCAGTCAGGAAAGGCAGAGAGAGAACACACTGACTTCCAACCTGCCTGCAAACACTGACTTTTGTTCTCTGCTCCACCCAGCAGGCTGGCAGGTCACAGCCAGCCACTACAGGATGTCCCTCTGTACCTGATGCCATCAGCTGAGGCCACATCTCAACAGATGTCATACCACTGAGGCAGCAGGCTGCCAGGACCAGCGCACTGTGTGAGTATAGAAAAGATGGACTACGCAGCTCAAATAACCGGGGCACTGCTGTGCTCAGGAGGGCGGGAGGCAGTCTGCAGCTCAGCTCTATGGCTGAGCACTCGCTGGAGGAAGGAGTGGATGGAAGAAGCGTGCAGTCAGGCTTTCACTCTGATTCTCCACTTAGCACCCATGGCTGAAGAGATCTCTGTCCCCAGTGCTAACTGGGGCTGCCAGAGCTTTTTAGAAGCTCAAACCGCGGGTAAGCCAATAGCAGGAGCTGAGAAGCATCCTCTCTCCCCTAGCCAGGTTGAGAATGGAACTGCTCAGACATTCACCTATTTTACTGCTTACCCAAGACTGCAGCAACAGGAGGCCAGAGAGCGGAGTCATGGTTTGTCAGACAGACACGGATCCAAAAGCCTGGGTCACCTTTGATTTCTTAGAAGGTAAGGGAAGTCACTTCAAAGAGATCAAAAGGAAAAGGAAAAAAAACCAGAGAGTGACTTTATAGTTATTTGTGCCCAACTGAATCATTTAATCAAAACCAACAAAACAGTGGGCCCTGGCTGTCCATCCATAGGAGTCAAATGGCTCATTATCTTAGAACGACAAAGTGGCCACACTCCCCAGTCTTTAGGATCACAACTATACATGCTGTAGGCCTAAAGCCTGGTGCTAGGCCCCACAGCCCTGCAGCAGCTATCACTTAGCTACAACACAGGCTCTTGCACACGGATGAGCAAGCTTTCCACATGGTTTCCCTGATTATATGAGCCACCAGCCAAGCCTAGGCATACACACACTTTCCCTTTCCCAGTGGGTTCTGTATCCTGTGGCAACAGGCTTTCCAGATGGGAACCTCGGCCACTAAGTGAGGCAGACATGGAGGAGGGGCAGTAGAGAAGGCTGCCAAGGAGTAGATTCAGTCAGTTCCATGGGCTGTGGTGTGGAGTGTGAATCAGTTCATGAGGCCAAGTTTGCAATTATCAAAGGGTCAAGTGCTTCCTCCCACTAAAAGCTAGAGCGTTGTGTGACTGACCCTCTGTGATTCAGTTGTCGCTGCCCACTTTCTCATCCTAAAAAGGTAATTAGAAAGATAATTACTTTCTTTTCCATCCTGCAAGAAATTTTGCTTTCAGAATTGTTAATTTCAGAATTTACAATCTTCAATTCTTTTAATTATCACAAATACAAAATGGAAATATCACTATTACAGATTAAAATTCCTTTGTTGATCGAGATTCCATATTTTATGCTTAAGGAAGTTTCAGTTAATTTTAACTTTCAATAAACATATGTTGAGCCACAATTAAAAAAATGGGCCAAGTTTTAAAAGATGTCTCCATTATGAAAGGCTAATACAAAGCCTGGATTTGAACACCTACAATTTACTAGCTACCCTGGTGCCTCTGATTAGATATCTGGGTAGGTTCATTTTGAGTTGGGTTTACAGAGCTGTGATGCTGAAGCCTGAAGTCCCAGTCTGTCATTGCCACTGCACATGTGACAGACGACAGCCCGACAACTACCACAATGAAGACGTAAGAGAATTCCATTATCCCACAAGTTTCCTTTGCAGTAAATCTTGCAGGACTTTCTGGTCATCCTAAGACTTTTATATAGGTAATGTCCTTAGGTCTTCCAGAATCAGAGGTATTTATAATAACTGCAACAGCTGGCATGGTGGCAAATACTTTGAATCCCAGCACTGCAGAGGCAGAGGCAGGAGTATCTCTGTAAGATCTAGGCCAACCTGGTCTACATCCAGACCAGAGAGTTCCAGGACAGCCAGAGCTACATGGAAAGACCATGCCACAAAAAACCAAGAGCCACAATTTATATCTGCCAGCTGGCTAGCATTTTTATTCTGCCAATTTCCAAAAAAGAACTTTAAAAAAACGACAGTGCAGTTTGCAAGTGGCTTTCTGTGTGCTCCACGATCAAGCCCGCCTGGTTCTCGGCTGGCCAGCCTGAAAGGAGGCCAAGCAAAGTTACAGAATTTCAAAATACGCAGTGTCAAGTTCATGCACATGACAAAGGGACTTCTTAGCCATCGAATCTATTAGAATCTATTAGACCCACAGCTTAAAGATTATTAGAGCCTGGCATTTCTCGGGGAAACACACTGATTTAAGACATACGAGAAGCCACTGCACAAGGAAGGCTCTGACGGCAAGTGGGACCAGGGTCACTATGTCCTACATCGCTTTGTTTCCCTTTTGTTAGAGCTGGCTGCTGCATTTTCAGATCCAGATTTCTAAATCCAGGAGACAGATAACACACCCATGAAACGACTGTCCATCAGCACCGGCTCTGTGTAAGGTACAATGACCCAAATTCCACCCCTGCTGGTCTAACGATTCCTCTAACTCTAGTCTGGACATGAAACCTCTCCCCCGACTCCCACCCCCAATACAGAAAAATGTTAACTGTAGACAGACTATGTGCTACTTTGGCTCCTTCTTTCATGGGACCTAAGAGAGCCAATCAGAACAAAGTCTCTTGTTCTTTGATATTGAGTTTATCTGCTCCCAAAGGGCAATATGTATGGCCAGACTAGGGTATTATGGGGAGAGAAAAAAATATCCATATGGTGATCACTGACACTCCTGGTGGTAGTTCTCAAAGAAGAAACACTTCTGTCTCTTTGACCACCAACTGGAACTGCACCCGAGAGCCACTATGGAGACCGTTCAGTCTCTGGCACACTGCTGTTATACAGGCTCACAG